CTATTTTGTGAAAACGTTTTGTGAAAAATATTTCCTGAATATTCTAATAAGGCTTTTACTTACACATACACCATACACTACATACTGCTGTTTTTTTATCCTAGAAATGACCTTTTTTCAATTACTTTTAATTAACACTGTTCATTTATGGATTATTTAAAAAGGGTTGCTGAGTTTAGGTGTACAATGCTGTAGGGGAATCTGCATCTAATTTGTTGTCATGGAAACAAGAGACCTCCTCTTGTATTATGTATTACCACATCTATTTCATGTTTTTCCTGCTTATTTAAGGTGCTCATTAATTACCAATACCTTGTATATGACAACATGCAATACTGTATCCGTATTACCATACTCATTATCAATACCTTTTATGACAACATGCAATACTGTATCCGTATTACCATACTCATTACCAATACCTAATATGGCAACATGCAATACTGTATTACCATAATCATTACCAATACCTTTTATGACAACATGCAATACTGTATCCGTATTACCATACTCATTACCAATACCTAATATGGCAACATGCAATACTGTATCCGTATTACCATACTCATTACCAATACCTAATATGGCAACATGCAATACTGTATCCGTATTACCATACTCATTACCAATACCTAATATGGCAACATGCAATACTGTATCCGTATTACCATACTCATTACCAATACATTGTATGGCAACATGCAATACTGTGTCCGTATTACCATACTCATTACCAATACATTGTATGGCAACATGCAATACTGTATCCGTATTACCATACTCATTACCAATACCTAATATGGCAACATGCAATACTGTATCCGTATTACCATACTCATTACCAATACCTAATATGGCAACATGCAATACTGTATCCGTATTACAATACTCATTACCAATACCTAATATGGCAACATGCAATATCGTATTACCATACTCATTACCAATACCTTGTATGACAACATGCAATACTGTATCCGTCTTACAATACTCATTACCAATACCTAATATGGCAACATGCAATACCGTATTACCATAATCATTACCAATACATTGTATGGCAACATGCAATACTGTATCCGTATTACAATACTCATTACCAATACCTTGTATGACAACATGCAATACTGTGTCTGTATTACCATACTCATTACCAATACCTTTTATGACAACATGCAATACTGTGTCCGTATTACAATACTCATTACCAATACATTGTATGGCAACATGCAATACTGTATCCGTATTACCATACTCATTACCAATACCTTGTATGACAACATGCAATACTGTATCCGTATCACCATACTCATTACCAATACCTAATATGGCAACATGCAATACTGTATCCATATTACCATACTCATTACCAATGCCTTGTATGACAACATGCAATACTGTATCCGTATTACCATACTCATTACCAATACCTAATATGGCAACATGCAATACTGTATCCGTATTACCATACTCATTACCAATACGTAATATGGCAACATGCAATACTGTATCCGTATTACCATACTCATTACCAATACCTTATATGGTAACATGCAATACTGTATCCATATTACCATACTCATTACCAATACCTTGTATGACAACATGCAATACTGTATCCATATTACAATACTCATTACCAATACCTAATATGGCAACATGCAATACCGTATTACCATACTCATTACCAATACCTTGTATGACAACATGCAATACTGTATCCGTATTACCATACTCATTACCAATACCTTGTATGACAACATGCAATACTGTATCCGTATTACCATACTCATGACCAATACCTTACATTGTATATTACAACATGCAATGCTGTATTACCATACTCATTACCAATACCTTATATGACAACATGCAATACTGTATCCGTATTACCATACTCATTACCAATACCCTATATATGACAACATGCAATACTGTATCCATATTACCATACTCATTACCAATACCTTGTATGACAACATGTAATACTGTATCCGTATTACCATACTCATTACCAATACCTTTTATGACAACATGCAATACTGTATCCGTATTACCATACTCATTACCAATACCCTATATATGACAACATGCAATACTGTATCCATATTACCATACTCATTACCAATACCTTGTATGACAACATGCAATACTGTATCCGTATTACCATACTCATTACCAATACCTAATATGGCAACATGCAATACTGTATCCGTATTACCATACTCATTACCAATACCTTGTATGACAACATGCAATACTGTATCCGTATTTCCATACTCATGACATATGACAACATGCAATACTGTATCCGTATTACCATACTCATTACCTGATATCTTTATTCCCGAATTGATAGCAATAGTGAATTTACACATTTTTTCAACATAGACGTTAGAAACTCGCACATGTTAAATTGTCTTGCAGTCATTATGTAGTTCATTTCAGAAGAACTGGGACATGCACTTGATCAAAAAGGAACATATAAATGCAGACATTTCATTTGTTATGTATTAATCAATGTACAAGAACAGAGAGCACTGCGACATTCGTGATGACTTTTTTTCGTTTATATTCCAGCTCCAATGTATGATGCTCCTCTTTTTCTTGATTGTTGTGCTCTGACACGCCAAGTACTACGTGACTTAAAAGAAGATTTTGGTTTTAATATCGGTCTGTGGAACCAAGCGTATCAGTACGATACATTGCCAATTACTATCGAGAAAGAAGAAGATATGAAACCTGGAGACTTAGTCTTTATATCAGCTATATTTTATAATCCCAAAGGTATGAATACAGATTTTAATATTTTCTATATTGTATGGTCCCAAAGGTACGAATACACTGTATATACATGAAACCTGTAGACTAAATGTAAATATATCAGTTAGTCAAATGTCAAACAATTGTGAATCTACTGTAATATCTGACATGGAATCTTCCGTGTAAATCAGTTCTGTTTGCTGACTATTAGGAATGATTACATCGTTTCCTACCCTTCCAGGTGTATTTGTCTTGCCATGCGTATCATTTCTTGAATATGCACTGACTGATACCACCCACACTCTGCTCATAATTGCAAACATATGCATATGAAATTCATTATAAGCCAGCCTTAATAACCAACTATTTTTGTAATAAAAGTAGAAATAACCTACCCAACCAGACTCAGACGTGACTGTGTAGATTGGTAGTCTGATGTTTAACAGTAGAGATGTAATCATTATCCTAAATTACTATTCAAAATATTGGATGGGCGTGTGTGTGTTTTTATAATGAATTGATGAGGACTATGGATAATAAAAACACGCCCAGCAATATAATCTCTTCGTTTAACTTTCAACTCCACTACCTACTCTAAGCAAAGTTTGCAAGGGCAGGAAAAATAAAAATAAACTTTAAAAACAGCTTAGTGCAATGTTTTGCTCTCAGTATCAAATTGAGATTGTCTTTAACACCCCCTCCCCAAAATTAACTTGATTTTTCTATGGTCAAAACATGTATTATTTCAATGATTTAGTATATGCATTATTTGGTATTTTGGGTTTATATACACTTCTATCCAACCTACTTGCTGTCTTATATGTTATGTTAACTGAATCAAATGATTCAAACATGTCTAACCAAGGAATTGCGCCCTCTAATGATGAAACGCTTATGTGATGTAGACAGATGTAGAAATATAACTAATCCATACAATATTCTATTCAACATGGCATTCACCCATCTGTGTCACTTAAGCGTTTAATTGGTTATTTCGTTATAAGTAATTATGTATTACAGGTTGAATACATAATTAATTTTTGAATTATTATTTTGTATCCATTTGGCAGCAAAGAAACAAAGGCATGATATGGTACACGTTGAGATTTGGGCAGGTGATGGCATCAAAACAGTTGGTGCTAGGTGGCAGAAAGGAGTGGTACAAGTATTTGATTCATATAAGTTTGTTTCTAAAAGTTACCATTCCATGGTTTATCACTTCAAGTCAATTGACACGTGGTTAAGAGGTGTTTGTAGAAGGTATGTTCCATGATTTCACCCTCTCTCACATGTTGATAATAAACCTCAGATGTAAATAGTCACTGAGATCTTGTTGAGAGCGAGAGAAAGCCACAAGAATTGTTTTTACCCCTTGAATAGTTTTCCATTCTCTCTCGTCATCGCATCAATTGTTCCACTCATCTATGTAACCATGGTATTTGGAGGACGTGATGCAGGGTGGAAAACAAACAAACTCTTTCAATCTCAGCCATTTGCATTTAAGGTCTATGGAACAATCCCTCATGAATATTCATGATTTTTTCTCGTATGCGTTATGAACAAGTTTTATATGATAAATTTATAATATTAAACATATTAAAATTGGTTGCTATGTAAACGATTGACTTTCCATCTTTTCTGTAATTTAAAGCAAAAAATAAAATAAATATTTTGTTTTCAGCTTTTGTCCAGAACATTTATGGAGAAAGTCCAAGTATGAACCAGGAAAGAAATCTATATTCTCACTTCAAAGTGAAGAACCAGAACAAGATGAGGCAGCAGGTGGTGTAGATGATGATGACGATGGGAGTTGTTACCATGACAACAGAGATGCAGAGTTACAGAATGCTTCCTTATCTAGTGAGATGTCTACAATCAAACCCACAGTACAAGACGAGATAACTGAACATAGTGCCGAGATAGAAATTGATGATAGAACTTTAGAGGGACTTACAGAAAATGAATTCCTTGGGGACTCGTGTTCAGAAGTCTCCGCAAACTTAAATGTATATGATAAAAGAACAGAGGAAAATGATACAATAGTATTGTTTGGGGTGGAAGATGGTGAACATTTTGAAGAATCCTACTCCGACACATGTTCAATTTGCGATGAGTTTGACAGTGAGGAAGAAAACTGTTCATGTTGCCATGGTAACGTGGATGAAGAAGTTTGCATAGAAAGAGATTACTATGGTGAAATTTCCTGTGATGAAGATGAACCTTTTGACGGAGACGACAAACAGAAAAGCAAATGTTCAACAACCTCGGGCACAGGTTAGTATCAAAAATAGTCATTAAATTTCACTCTAACGCGTGATCACAGCTGAACCTTAGGGACTTGTTAGTGTCTAATATATCACATCATGCCTCTCACTTGATTGCATTTTCATAATGATTTTACCTTCTTTAGATCAGATGTTACCCCCGGTATATGAAATCGTGGTGATAAACCAATTGATGTTTTTCCCCGATATATCGTAATGTTAAATGATAATGATGTCCCTAAAGTGCTGTCATACTTGATGGCAGAGAGTGTGTGATGTGTACAAGGCACAAGTGAGCACGTGATCAAGTAGTTCTGCTCTGAGGAGATAACGGTTGATTTATTGTTGTTTTGAGATGAGTACGTGACGTATTTGATTGCACGAATATTCGCACATACAGGGAAATAGGTTGCGAAAATGTTGGTACATTTTATTTAGATTGAAACCCTTGAATTGATACGTTGTTGTTTTGAGATGAGTACGTGACGTATTTGATTGCACGAATATTCGCACATACAGGGAAATAGGTTGCGAAAATGTTGATACATTTTATTTAGATTGAAACCTTTGAACTGATATGTTGTTGTTTTGAGATGAGTACGTGACGTACTTGATTGCACGAATATTCACACATACAGGGAAATAGGTTGGGGAAATGTTGGTACCGGTACATTGTATTTAGATTGAAACCTTTGAATTCATACGTTGTTGTTTTGAGATGAGTATGTGACGTATTTGATTGCACGAATATTCACACATACAGGGAAATAGGCTGTGAAAATGTTGGTACATTGTATTTAAATTCAAACCCTTGAATTGATACGTTAAGAGCGTTAACTTGGTGTTTCATCTACGTCAAAGTGCTTTGTTTTTGATATGGGTCTCATGGTGTGAAAAAAAGTTTGTACATCGAGATACAGAAATTTAATTCCTACCACTCTGACACTGTCTCTGAAATCTAAATCTGACATAATTTTAAAACAATATATACATGTGCAAAATAATAAATTACCATTGTATCATAGGCTTGGATAGACAATAGATGACTTGGTGAATATTAAAAATAGCAACACAAAACCCAATAATTCCTGACTTGGTAGATTTGTAAGAATAAACTATATTGGGATGAAATGCAAAGTATGGTGAACCATGCAGAACACATAATGTTTCCTGGTAGTGATTATTAAGCTTATAGTGCTTAGATCCAGTGCAATTATTACATTTTATAATGGATGCTTGAGGCTTAAGAAGCAAGTACAAGTACCATCTATAATTCAACACATGTCATAATTTTATGATATCGACTTGGGTATCTGCAATTATTATAAGTGAAAGTCATGAATAAACAACAATGTCTTATATCCATGATGGGATATTTCAAGAATCATGAAAAAGAGTTCGCAGTTGACATTTTCATTTGGATATTTGGCTTAAGTTTCATTTTTCAATTTATGTGGACAGATTCAAAAATGTTTGCCGCTGTCCCTGATTACTGTGGCCCACAGTTATTATTTGGAAAAAAACGACAAATCCTCAAATATTTCCCAACTATTCATGTATTATATAGTTACATCATAGTCTTTAGACCCCAAGCATCTATGAATGAGTGCAACTGTAGATATTTGTTGTCACAGTGGGTAAAATTGTTAATTATTATAAAATAAAAACAAAAACTAGTGTCTGACTTGCTTGGACTTATTGAAACCTGGAAGAATACAGACTCATAATGATAGAATATAATTTGAAATCATTTAAATCGTGAAATATATTGTTTGGACTTCATATGTTTTGTTTTTGGTTTTCTTTGCACCAGAGAAATATATGTAATATAAAATTTCTAATTCAGTCAGCCTGATACTGAACAGAGAAAATATATTCAATTTTATTGAAAATATGTGAAAACACAAAAATGGACCATGCATCTGTAACTGACATAGGGTGTGTTGCAAGAGACTTAATTATTGAGATGATTTATTTATGGGCATGCATATCACATGACCAGATGAGCCAATCAGTGATTGTGCTCTACATGTCAATCAAATTACAATATATGCTGCAAGGACATTTACTGACTGGATCCCTGGGATAATGCAAGAACACAATAACAGTTCTCATGTTTTCCCTCAAGGATGGATAACCATTTAACTCCTCACTTTGAACAACAGATGTAACAACGACTATCGGGAATTACTTTTTCTATCGCTGAAAATAAACTAATTTAATACAGATCCTCCAACTTCCCTCGTTGGATCCTGGCGGGTTTGATCTAACAAAAATCGTGGCTAAGGAAAGCGTAATAATATAATAAGCGGTATGGTTTTTTCAAAAGGAACAAAATTGAATCCAATTCC